TTCAAATATCATGTCTTTCTAATTCAACGACTGTTAACTCATTATAAAACATTTACAAAGCTATCCTCCTAGTCTCTGCTCTGAGTTTTCTTTCAACCCAAGTTACAAGTTTTGCAGTCAGAAATCATCACACATTCAGCTTGGTTTCTGTTTTTTTGAATAGTTGCAGCATCGGTTTTTGAGCCAGGAGCAGATAAATTAGTCATTATATGATTGGAGATTCGCAAGAAAACACTTGGAGAAAGCCCCCAAAGGAGTTTCTAGCTCTAATGTTCACAAAGCACAACATCCTTTGTCCGATGAGCATCAATCTCCATGAAGTTGTTKCATCTCTAGAGGTAAGAAACGAGCTTCGCCTATTCGATCCGGATTCTAGTAATTCAACTCAACTCGATACATATCGAACTCAAATTCGGTATAATGTTATATATCAACTCAATATATGTCGAGTCTTTCAGTGTGATGGCTTATTGTTATGCACCTCCAAAGCCGAATCTAGAATCGTGGTTTGGAGCCCGTACTGGTCAAACCAAATGGATACGGGCAAACGTGACAAGAAAGGCCGGGCCTTTGTTCTCGGATACTACCAAGACAACAAATCATGCACTAAGAGCTACAAAATACTGAGGTTTTATACTTGTAGCAACGATTTGGAAATCTACGAGTTTAGTTCTGATTCGTGGAGAACTCTTGACCATGATATCGCTCCAGCTGGCTGTTCCTTGCCATATGTTGATCATTGCGTGTCTTTGAAGGGAGATACTTACGTGTTTGGTACAAATGAAACAACAACGCTAATCGACAGCCTATCCTTGCTCAGATTTGATTTTTCAACAGAGAAATTTGTACCTGTGCCATTTCCATGTAAGCTGCAGCGTGGTTATAAAGCTACATGTCTGTCCGTTGTTAAAGAAAATAAGATTTCGGTGTTATTACAGCATGATGATAGTTCCAACACTGATATATGGGTGGCAAATAAGATTGATGAGAACAAAGTAGTTCCAACACTGATATTTGAGCGGTTTTGGTATTCAAACTTCTTTCTTGCTCAACAAGGAGAAGAAAGCTGTTGTGTTGTGTGAGATAAGGATGGGCGACAAAGAGAAGTGGAGAGACATGGTACACATTGTTGGGGAGGATAATAAAGTCACACCTGTGGATTTGGGAGAAGATATAATGGATTTAGGCTGGCCAATCATTCTTAATTATGTTCCAAATTTGTTCCAAGAACTGACTAAACAAGCTATACATGTTTTTTTTTTTTAACATCTGCATTTTACTTATTTAAAAATCAAGGTTGCATGATACATACATAACATAAGATAATAGAATTACAACAAATTACATGATTAAACTTTTGAAAAAAAACGGAAGTGAATTAAGCTATACATGTTGTAATTGCTTTTTCTGTGTGTTTTTAATTTTTTCTTAATTTATCTTGCTCATGTTTTCATTGAATAATCCTTTGATGGAGCGAGCTGAAAGGAAAAGAGGTGACTTTACAAGAGAAGGTGTGATGAGAAAAGTTTATATGTGTTAAGGGAAGTATAAGTGATAGGGTCATGTTTTAGTTTCTTGCCTTCTGATACTTTGAAGTGATCGATCAAGCAAAAATATTAACTCACCTTCTGTATGTTGCATTCTTTTGCATGATTCATTCGTAAGATATGTTGTGAAACACACTGTTTTTCTTCTGTATTTCTGAGCTTGTTGATTAACAGAACAAAGGCTTTAAGCCTTGTAGTAAAGTAATTATGTCTACCGAAATGTTTTTTCCTTCTTTTGGAAGGTTGATATATGTCTACCAAAATCTTCTACTAAACTAAATACCTGGGCCATTTTTATAGAACAAAATTTAGTATGAATTTACTAAATTTTATTAGAGTGGCTACCTCAATTTAATTTTGTTTTGTTACATGTTTTTTCCGGAGAATGTGTTGTCGGATCACAAAATATATTTCTACGATTTTAGCATGATTGGTAATTGATCCACAATCTCAAAAAGAAAAAAAAATGAAGTTTCGATCATATTGCAGTGATAAAACTTGATTTTCGAATGCTCAAGGTCATGGACAATACCTTAAATTGTTTCTCAATCGGATCAGACCCGCAATAGCTTCTTACCCAAGAAATACTTGTACTCATTTATTTGGGGTAAGGTTAAGAATTTAAACACAGACCAGCAACACATCTCGCGAAGATAGGTAACATCAAACAACCGAAGCCTTGAAAGTACTCTCTACAAAGCCCAGGAACTCCGACTTGCGGAGAGATGACATCAGGCCTAGAAGAGGGGCAACTCTCCAAGGATGAAGCCAAACCCATCAAACGCAGCAAAGGAAGCAAAGCCATAACACACAACCCAAACTTTCGAAGCTAGATGGAGCAAGAGAACTGCAACACCAAAAAGAAATCTAAACTGCAAACAACAATGACCAGCAACGCCAAAACCAGACAAACAACCAAGTGATAGCACAAACCTAGGCCACACAACCTAAACCAGTACCAACATTACCATATAAAAAAAAAAAAAATTTGCTAAAAAGTCACAAGAACTACTTTAACAGTGCAAAAATGTCACAAATGAGTTTTTGTTACAAAAATATCACATGTCTCAGATTTTGGTCGAAGATGCCCTTGGCGTGGGTTGAGCTGAGCATTAAATGAGTTCTGATATTTCTGATAGAGGTTTTCGAGAGTGATTAAAAGGTCAGATGAGATGTTTATCTACCCTAATTAATGAGGGATAAAGGTAGATGTATACATATACTAATAGAAAATATAATAAATTTATAAGAATATATTTGGTAAAGGTATCTATAGTTGGTAAATATTTAATGAGTGAAAGAAAAGTGAAGATTACAGAGAGAAATAATTTTGTTCTCTTTTCTTTCATCTCCCCTTCTCGTTCTTCCTTTAAATCTTTATCTGTTACAGTGAATGAA